AACTGTAAACTGCTGGTACCTACCCCTAAGATGAGTCCTTAAGATACTGAAAAAACTGAAAGGAAAGATACTTTTTTGGTCTATTGGGTTGGCAGGTAGCCTGGGTTAGAAGTTAACCTAGCATCCCTGTGGGAGAATAAAATAAGAATGAGTTGTTGGAATTCTGTTCTTGCTAACCTGCTGCCTCCTCCTCCCCTAATGCCATTGTCTTAAAACAAGCTGTGCCTCACCCTACATTAACTCTCAGATCTTTCTTCTAGCTGTTCTCTAGAATAAAATCCTAGGCAGTCTTTCCTTAAATCTTACTTCTTGGTGGGAGGAACTGGGACAATCAGGTGGAAACTACTTCGCCCCTCCCTGCTCCAAACTCACCTGGCTGGTGAATTACAATTGCAGTCTAAGGAGTGTTCCCAAAAAAGAAGCTCTGACTTGAGTTGTTCTGAGAGGTGGGGAGTGATTGTAGTTTAATGCCTGAATTTTCCACCCTAGTGCTAGTCTGCTCTCCACCATCCCTACCCACTGAGTGTATTGGCTGTTCGTTACTAGACGTGTTTGGTTGATAATGGCAGGAAAAAAATAAACTCATGCAAATAACAAAACGTTGGAGGAAAGCAACTATTCCAAAGGAAAAACAACATAGAGTATATCAGATTCCAACAGAAGCAAAATTCTTAGGACAGATGAATCAATAAATTTAGTCTAATGAACATAATAAAAGAAGTAACGGGGGGGCCAGCCAGGTGGCATAGTGGTTAAATTCGTGCACTCTGCTTTGGCAGTCCAAGGTTCGCAGGTTTGGATCCTGGGTGCAGACCTGGCACCACTTGTCAAGCCATGCTGTGGCGGCATCCCACATAAAATAGGGAAGAGTGGCACAGATGTTAGCTGAGTGACATTATTCCTCAAGCAAAAAGAGGAAGATTGGCAACAGATGTTAGCTCAGGGCCAATCTTCCTCACCCCCTGCCAAAAAAAAATAAAAAGTAGGGGAAGATGTTAGCAATGAGAACAGGAAACAAAACCAAGCAGAAAGTTTAGGTGTGAAAAATAAAGTAAAAAATACAGTAGATGAGAAATAGCAGAAGTGATAGAGCTAGGAAATGAATAAATAATTGGCAAACCATATTTAGAAAATATATTAAAAGGAAAAAGGAGAGGACAATAGGGAAAAACTGTTTTAAGGCAATATGAGACAAAAAAAAAAGAAATAGCTCAAACAAGAGGGAAAAAATGGAGGGAGGAAATATTTGAAAGAGTAATTAAGATCAGTTTCCCAGAATGAAAAGAAAAAACTGACCTCAGATTTCAAGGGCCATAGAGCACCAAAAAAGAGAATAAAGAAAACCCCACCTATACATACTAAACTGAAATTTAAGAATATGAAAGAGGAATTCTAAAAGCCTGCGGAAAGAAAGAACAGGCTACATATATAAAAGAATAAGTATGAGCTTGATGTATTTTTCTACAGCAACACTGTGTACAAGATTTCAAAATATTGATGGAAAAGAAAACTTAGAATTTAATATCCAGCCAAACTGTCGTTCAAATAACAGTAGATAATAAAATATCCTTGGGCATTCAAGTTCTCTGAAGATTTTTTAAAAAGGCCCACGTTGAAAACAGTTTTGAATGAAGTGCTTAAGTAAAAGATAAGGTAAGTTGAGGAATGCTGCAAGAGATTTGTGATTTCATACCTTGGTTAGAGTTGATTGTTATTTTTACATCTTGCTAGAACTAAAAGGAGAAACTATATCCTTAATAACTAAGAAAAGTGTAGTTAATATCAACATTGATGTGTTGGCAGAGGATGGCAAAATCAAAGGATGTGAAACCATACCAAAGTTCTTGTCTTATTAGAAGAAGATATCTATAGATACCAAAATTTTAAAGAGAAGCTTAAAAATAAAGTGGGATAAATTGAAATATAAAATTATGATAGTAGAAATAGGACCAAATATACCAACAAATATAATAAATCTAAGTGGGACTAAAACTAATTTTAAAAAGCACCTACAGATTGGAACAAAGAAATCTAGATATTTTCTAGAATACGAGACATGCCTAAAGCATAGAAATACAGCAAGGTTGAAAATAATAGGATTCAAAAAGAAGTGCTAACCAAAATAAAGTTGGTATTGCTATACTAATAAAAATAAGACAAAAAGCATTGTTGGGGATGGTGGGGGTTGTAAATATTAATAGAAGATTTAGCATCCAGAATGTATAGCAGTTTTTGACATGCATGTGTCTAATATGTAAAGCAAAAATTGGTCAACTCGAAACCTCAAATATGTGAATCAAGAAATTAGTAAAACTGCAGAGAAACTTATGAATTATCTATTTAAAGGGAGATTTCAACATAGAAGGTAGCAAGTTGGTTGTAATTAAGATATATCAGGTTCTATGTCCAACAATAAGAGAATATTTTTCAAGCACACGTGAATATTTACAGAAAGTGATACTGTGTTAGGCCATAAATAAAGACTCAGTTAAATTTGAAATAGCTGTTATACAGATAGTGATCTCTAACTACAAAGCAGGTAATTTAAAAGTTACTAACAAAAATATTTTTTAAACTGCTACATATGTGGAAATTGAAAATCACACTACTGGGGCCGGCCTGGTGGTGTAGTGGTTAAGTTTGGTGCACTCCGCTTCAGTGGCCTGGGTTCCTCAGATTTGGATCCCAGGTGCGGACCTACACACTGCTCGTCAAGCCATGCTGTGGTGGCGTCCTACATACAAAATAGAGGAAGATTGGCACAGATGTTAGCTCAGTGATAATCTTCCTGAAGCAAAAAGAGGAAGATTGGCAACAGCTGTTAGCTTGGGGCCAATCTTCCTCACCTCCCGCCCCCCCCCATCACACTACTAAATAATTTGAGAGTTAAAAAAAAATTGGAAATAAAAATACTTGGAACAGAATGATAATGGATACACACATCAAAACATGAGGTAAAGTAGGATTCAAGGGAAATTATTTCAGAGAAGAAGAAGACTTTTGAATCAAATGTGCCAATAAACACATGAAAACTAGGATTTTTAGCTATATGCACACTTATATAGTCCTCTCGTTCCAGAGGATTTTCAACAAGTGATTTTCAACTTCAGAGTACCCTCACCCCCCTAAAAAAAAAAGTGATTTCAGCTCTATGTTTCACTGCTCTTCCTCTTGGAAGATCCTGTTCTTTCTAGCCCAGTGTGCTGAGACCACCCATCACCCACACGAATGCCTTTTCTCCATGGTGAGTGGACAAGATGAGTAGGTGGATAGCATCTAGAGTGAGGAAATTCTTGGCATCTGAACTTGGAAATCATGAACTGACAAGCAGGGCTATTCTGAACTGTGGCAAAGTTACCACTGAGTGTTCTCCTTTCCCAAAGCTGCATTTTTAAAGACTGTGTTAAGGGGAGAATTAAATGGAACAGAACCAGACATCTGTAGTAGGCTGTTTGTAAAGCACGGAAAAGTTCTGATTAAGTAGCTGCCATTCATGCAGCATTTGTATTAGGAGTAAGACTGACATTTCCTAACATAGAATAACTTGAAAGTAGCTAAAGAATTACATTAGAATCCTATAACAACAGGAACTGTTTGTGGGGTAGGAGGTAGTAAGTACCTATGAAAATGAGTTTTCGTTCAAGGCTGTCACTTGAGAATAGGCTTAAAATGGGTGTTTAGAAAAGAAGTTTTTATGTAGAGGAAAGGAAGTCTCAGGTCAATAATATGAGGGAGATAAGGTAGAAAAGTGTGTGTGAGCCTAAGGAAAGAGGGTTCTTTCCTTAACCGTGTAGAATAATTAACAGAAGGGAGGTGCTAAACCGTGGTCAAAACACAATTGTTACAGTGTGTCTTGTGCTATACATGTATCTCCTTTACTCACCTTCAACTAAATGAGCTCAATAAGCAAAAGGGAGATCTCCATCCTACCTACCACCTCTCCCCACCCACCAAATCCTTATACTTTCATTCTTCTAACTGAATGCACATTGGGGGAAACTTGTAAAAAAGAAAATAAGAATAATTTAAAGGGTTTCCTAGTCAGTTGAAGTGAAATGAATTATTCAGGTGGTAAGCAAGTGAGTAGCAATGGCTTTGTAAGACATCCTTAAGTAAGAAATTGAAGACTGAATTTAGAGAACTGATTACTAGATTTTCCACAGGGAGATATTAAGACTTTTCCTTTTGTATAAATATTTCCTTTGATCAAAACAATTGGTTGTAAACTATAGCCTTGCCATTGTTTCTAGTAAAAACAAGGGCAGAAAGTAACATTGTGATGTATATTGCCATTGTAGTATTCTGTCAGACTATTTTTTAAATTATGTCCTGCAGGTATCTCATATAACAAATTGTTTGTTGCTTAGCTCTTGCATTTCAGGACACTTTGAGCAGAATATATTCTTCCCTTTTTGTTAGAGCATACTAAACTCTTAAGTTAAAGCAATAACAAATTTTTGTGTTCCTGTTTTTGGTTTTTTTCCTTAGAATTAGACGACTTAATCCGGACACAATGTATTTTTCTTATTGAAACATCTTAGATTGTAATAGGGTTGTAACAGCAGAAACAGAAAAGGAGTTTCCTAGAGTGAGATGCCATTCAATAGAGAAAGCCTCTTGCTCTCTTACATCCTGCTGGTTCTTGATCCAAAAGCAGTATTTGTTGTATTCCAAAGGCAAATGTAAAGCAATACTCATCAATTTTAAATTATCCTATACTTGTTTTAAAGAAAGAATTTTCTGTTTTTCACTAGAAAATTTCTTTCCTTACGCTTAATCTTATTATATCCTTATGCTAGTATATGTTACAAATATGATTCTGAAAACCAGAATATATCTACTTAATTCTTGTGTACTCAATTTTTTGTTTAAAATTAGTGCTCTTCTTAGAGATAAATGCCTTTCCACATTAAATCTGTATAAATTCTTTGGCAAGATTTGTAAATATGAAGTGGTTAGAAAAGAGAACTGAACTTTAGATGGTGTCGACTGTTTTTTAGGAAGCAGTACCACTGGGGCACCCTTTCAGTGCTGTGAAACAAGAACAGCAGAGAAAATGGATTGAAGAGTTGAACAAGCAAATAGAAGATGACAGGCAAAGAAAAATAGAGGAAAAAATTATATCTTCAAAGGTAACTTAGGAAGTTTTATGGATATAAAGAGAAAAAATAATTTCAAAGTCTTTAATCATAAACTTAAAAGTATCCTGAAACTATTTGACAAGACCAGAGTATTCAGATAATCCTACATTTGCTCTTGTGAACTTTTCATTGAATGCATTCAGTACGTGTGATATGGCATCGTTTCTTGTAACTAACTTTTTAGAAATTTCCTAATTTCTTTGAATTTCTCATATTCTCTAAGCTAGTTATCGAAATGTATGTGAAATCAATACAGAATACAGTTATGTTAATTTTTATGATGCTTATTCTGCTTATACGGCTTATTCTGCTGTATGGTAACTTGTAGAAATCATGTTTGATTGTCATTTAGGATTTTATACGTGAGAACAATTGGAAAAATTCTTAGCAATTCTTATTTGTCATGATTAGGGTGAGGAACATGACAGATGGGCGATGCATTTTGATTCATTAAAGAGCTATCCTGGTTCTCGGTCTCAGTTGTCTTCTCAGTCAACACACAAACAACCAGAGTACTTCTGTGTCTCTCCGGACACTCAGGAGCTGGCTGATATCAGCAGTGTTTGTACACCTACAACTGGAACCCATGTTGAACCTTCAGAGGAGGAGCATTTAGTAAAACCTGTTGGAGATGTGGCTATGGCAAACAGTCAAAAAACGAAGTAAGTTCATTCTTCAGTATTTATTGATATTTAAGAAAGTCTTTGTGCTTTATTAAGACTATTGTTATATTTATAATATATCTTAATTGGTTTCTGGTTTGGTGTTTTTCTTTAAAATAAAAATGATTAGTAGATATTCCAAACAAAAATGATTCAGCAACTTGTTAAACCCACCTTTTGGGTTTTAAACGGCCAATATATCTTTCTTGCCAGCTTTCTCCGTTCCATGACTGCTCTCTTGGACCCAGCTGAGATAGAGGAACGAGACAGGCGGCGACAAAAACAGTTAGAACATCAGGTACTGCATTGTAAAATATTGTTCTCTGCCTTAATAAGTAATAGTCATGGCTAATAGATACTTAAGTAAATGGAAATTAAAATTCCAGTGTAAACTTACAGCACAAGCCCTGTCCAATCCTGTGAGCAGTCTAATCCCTACTCCAGCTGGCATTATGTTAGAATTATACTCGTGCTGAGAACCAGACAGTATCACATAGTATAGCCACCTGCCTTCCAGAAGAGAAGGTCTTCATAGTGGATGTGAAATGACACTAAATGTTAAGTTAGTATTGGATATTTTTTTCATCAGTTTAGTTCTCCTGAATTTTGGTCAGGATGAAAATTAGTTCTTTGGAAGGGAACTGTAGAGGGGATTGAAATAGAATTATGATTGAGAAATCTAGCAGATAATGTAAGAAAGACTAAAATTAAAATTCTCTCCTAACTTTGGTCTAATACTGAAAGGACTTAATTGTCTGAATAATTCTTTCAAATCTCTGATATGTAAAGAATTTCGCTTAGTTAATAATGTTACTCTTAATCAGTTAAGTGAACAGACATTTATGGAGCATCTGCTACTTACCAGACAGTATACTAAGCACTGAGATTTTTTTCTTCAGTTGTTTCTCTATTAGTTCTTCCAACAGCCCTCCTGGGGTTAAAGAAAAAGCATGTAGAACTTGACAAGTGGTAGAAGGGAGAAATACATTGGCAATTTGACTTTTTAACTTTACTCGTGTATGTAATACTTTCTGTGTAGTGTTAAACTTATTTTAGAAACACCAAACAAATGCTTCATTGATTATTTTTTGTGTGACAATGATTTGTGTGGTTGTTTATGACTAGAAAGCCATTACTGCTCAGGTAGAAGAGAAGCGCAGGAAGAAGCAGCTGGAAGAAGAGCAAAGAAAGAAGGAAGAACAAGAAGAGGAGCATCGTTTAGCACGGGAACGAGAAGAGATGCAGAAACAGTATGAAGAAGACATGTTTAAGCAAAAACAAAAGGAAGTAGGTATTTATATTTTAACTGTTTAACATTTTAGAGTAAAAAAATGATATGTTTTTAAAAGGAAAAATAGGGGCCGGCCCTGTGGCCGAGTGGTTAAGTTCACGCTCTGCTTCGGCGGCCCAGGGTTTTGCTGGTTCAGATCCTGGGCACGGACATTGCACCGTTCATCAGGCCATGCTGAGGCAGCGTCCCACGTGCCACAACTAGAAGGATCCACAACTAAAATATACAACTATATAGTGGGGGGATTTGGGGAGAAAAAGCAGGAAAAAAAAAGATTGGCAACAGTTGTTAGCTCAGGTGCCAATCTTTAAAAAAAAAAAAAGGAAAAATACCCAGAAGTTGAAGATTTATATATATTGTGAAATTGTGAAGCTGTATGCAGAAACATTAAAGCTTTGCATAAAGAAGGTTATGAAAATAGAGAGAAGCTGGAGGTTTTATTATTTCCAAAGATTAGTTCACAAATGCTGTATTTGTTGGGGTGTTTCTCTGCTTAAGGAGGTGGTCAGGATGAGTTATTATAGCAGAAAACAAAAGTTATCCATGTGCTTGATTTTGAAATGTTTTCTAAGGTATGAGTAGTGTATTAATGAATATTCTAGATATGCTAAGAGAAATGATTGGCCTTTCTGTCTGTATCACTTGGGAACAGGAGAATATGTTTGCAGAGTGATTGGCTGGGATTGATGATACAGTTTGTTGCTGTTTTGGAGGTTTCTTTTGTGCTTAAATAAGGGTCTTTTTAAAAAGAATAGATGTCTGGTTAGCTCGGAGAACCCCTATATTAAGTGATGCAGACAGCATAGGTATGGTGGTGTCAAGTGCCATGTTTGAGCTGACCTGACAAAAGAGCAAATTATACTATGAAATTCGATTGCCAAAGATTTGTGAGAGTTACAGAGTTGAGCATAGGGCACTTCCCCTGGAGCTGGGAGGTAGGGCTGAGAACCTGCATTTTCTTACCTTTTCATACTTGCAACTTTCACTCCCAAATTAGCTGATGCAGGGACACGTGGTCTGGGGTTCTGATTTCATTATGTTAAATAGGCTGAGCCAACTACTCCTATGGAATAACATATATATATATATATATATATATATATGAAAAAAATCAAAGTATCATTTGGTTGAATTGCAAGAAATAGCCGTAAACCTTGTATTTTACTTCTTAATAATTTGTTTTTAATCTTAATGGAACTCTGATGGAATTGACCATTGCTTTTTGAAACTTTGAGAACTTTATTAGTATAAGCTTGAATAGGTAGAAGAGTTCTTATATTTATGGTATCATCCCAGCTATAGAAAATGATATTAAAATGTAAGCTCCAAAACGAAAGGAACTTTGCTGTGTTGACCACTCCCATTATCGTCAGTAGTGCCTGGTACGTAACAGGAGCTTAGAAAATATCTCTTGTGAGAGAATAGTCAAGTCTGTGCGTGTTTGATAATTGTATTTAGTAACTTTATGCACTTAAATATTGGTAGGAAATCATGACTCTCAAGACAAATGAGCTGTTCCAGACAATGCAGAGAGCGCAGGAGCTGGCACAGAGACTGAAACAAGAACAGAGAATCCGAGAGTTGGCTCAAAAGGGACATGACACCTCTAGATTGATTAAAAATCTTGGTGGTAAGTACTGAACTAGAATTTTATTTATAATATTTTTCGAAGATGACTTTAAATAATTGCCTATTTTTAATACCTTTAATATACCTATTAACTAAATATTTTTGAAGGAGTTTCAGACCTTGAACTAATGTAACTTTATAATACTTATTTGGGAAATTGCCTTAAGAGAAGAAGTAAATGATTTACACTTTAATATCTTTTCACATAAGTTTTCCTAGGTTTTGCTCACAGCAGGTAAAATGTGCACCTTTGTACCCATTTTTACAGAGAAAATCTATTAAGTGATCTCCCTAAATTCAGTAAGGAATAAGAGTGCAGGTAACCTTTTGAAGGAAACTTTTAGGCCAGCCCTTCTAAGTTTTTATTGCAGTGTTCATACTCATTGATTAAAAGTCTTGTGCGTGTTTAGTTGCTGCTACACATAATTTTTATTAATATTCCTGAACTGTCATTTTATCAGATAATTTATTTCTCTTGCCAGTTGATACAATACCAGTGGAATATAATGCATCTACTAACAACATTTCCAATTCAAGACATGGCTTGGATGAAGTCAGTGGTAAATGTAATAGATGTATCAATTCTGTGATCTCTCCCAAGAAGGATACTGGTGTGCAAACAGGTATTTGTTTAGAACCTGTGATTTGGTTTAAAATTTTCTTAAAATTCAAGTCACGATTAGAATTAAGTTCAATTAATTTAAAGTTTGAAAATTAAAGGAGTTTGAGGTTTTCAGTAAGAGAAAATAAAGGAATCTCTTGGTTTTCAATTTCTCTATAACAGCTTTATTGAGCTATAATTCACATAGCATAAAATTAACCCGTTTAAAGGATAGAATTTAGTGTTTTTTTAAAGAGTACAATTCAGTTTTTATATTCAGAGTTATGCAACCATCACTACAGTGAATTTCAGAATATTTTTATTGCTCCAAAAAACCCTGTACCCATTAGCAGTCACTCTTCATTTCCTCCCACCCTCTAGTACTAGACAATCACTCATTTACATTCTGTCTCTCTAGTTTTCCTATTCTGGACGTTTCATATAATTAGAATCTAACCACATGTGGTGTTTGTGTCTGAATTCTTTCACTTAGCATGATGTGTTAAGGTTCATTCATGTGTTAGCATGATCAGTACTTTGTTCCTTTTTATCACTGAATAATATTCCATTTTATGGATATATTACATTTTCTTTATCATCAGTTGATGGACATTTAGATTACTTCCACTTTTTGGCTGTTACATATATGCTCATGTATAAATGTTTGTGTAGACATATTTTCAGGTCTCTTGGGAGAGAAGAGTAACATTGCTCAGTCATAGAGTAACTGTATGTTTAGCATTTTCAGGAACTACCGAACTGTTTTCCAAAGCATCTGTACTGTTTTACATTCTCACCAGCAGTGTATGAGGGTTCCAATTTCCTTCATCTTTGCCCACACTTATTCTTGGGGTTGTCAAGTAGTATCTCCTGGTTTAATTTGTATTTCCCCAGTGACTAATGTTGAGCATCTTTTCTTGTGCTCTTTTTAGATTTTTACATAGCTAATAAAGGAATATCCGTGTGGGATGTCATTATCATAGGTCTCCATACTTACTGTGAATCCTTTCAGCCCTCCAGCTATCTGTCTGAAAACCCCCCCGTTTTTTTTAATAACTGCCAAGAAATCTCTTTATCTTTTCACTTTGTTTTTAATTGAGGTATAATTGACATATAACATTCGTTTCAGGTGTACAACATAATGATTCAATATTAGTATATATTGCAAAGTGATCACCACAGTATGTCTAGTTAACATTCATCATCATACAGAGTTACAAAATGTTTTTCCTTGTGATGAGAGCTTTTAAGATTTACTGTCTTAGCAATTTTTGAGTATGCAATACAGTATTATTAACTATAGTCACCATGCTGTACATTACATCCCCATGACTTATTTTATAACTGGAAGTTTGTACCTTTTGACCCCCTTTACCCATTTCAACTGCCTCCCTCTTCTTCCTAACCCCCTGCAACCACCAATTTGTTCTCTGTGTCTATGAGTTTCGGTTTTTTGTTTTTGTTGTTGTTGTTAAGATTCCATATATAAGTGAGACCCTGCGGTATTTGTGACTGACTTATTGCACTTAGCATAATGCCCTCAAAGTCCACTCATGTTGTCACAAATGGCAAGATTTCATTCTTTTTTATAGTTAAGTGATAGTCCATATTATTTACATTTTTTTATAAATGTGTGTGTGTATATTTTTTTTACCTTTTCTTTCTTTATCTGTCAGTGGACACTTAGATTGCTTCCCTCTCTTAACTATTGTAGATAATGCTGCAGTGCACATGGGAGTGCATATATCTTTTTGGGTTAGTGTTTTTGTTTCCTTCAGATAAATACCCAGAAGTGGAATTGGTGATCTTGTGGAAGTTCCATTTTTAATTTTTTGGGGAACCTCCACGCTCTTCTATAGTGGCTACACAAATTTACATTCCCATTAACAGTACAGAAGAGTTCCCTTTTCTCCATACCCTCTGCAACACTTATTTTTTGTCTTTTTGATAGTAGCCATTCTAACAGGTGTGAGGTGATAGCTCATTGTGGTTTTGATTTGTATTTCCCTGATTAGTCATGTTGAGCATCTTTTCATGTACTTGTTGGCCATCTATATGTCTTCTTTGGAAAAATGTCTATTCAGATTCTCTGCCCATTTTTTAATTGGATTGTTTGGTTTTTTGCTATTGTGTTGTATGAGTTCTTTATATATTTTATATATTAACCCTTTATAAGATACATGATTTTCAAATATTTTCTCTCATTCAGTAGGTTGCCTTTTTGTTTTGTTGATGGTTTCCTTTGCTATGCAGAAGGTTTTTAGTTTGATATAGTCCCACTTGTTTTACTTTTACTTTTGTTGCCTTTGCTTTTGGTGTCACGTGAAAAATCACCAAGACCAATGTCAAGGAGTTTACCGCCTACGTTTTTTTCTAGGAGCTCTGTGGTACCAGGTTTTACATTCAAGTGTTTAATCCATTTTGAGTTAATTTTTATGTATGGTGTAAGATTTTGCATTGGCTGTCCAGTTTTCCCCACACCATTTGTTGAAGAGACTGTCCTTTCCCCATTGCATATTCTTGGCTTTATCATAAATTAATTGACCATATATGTGTGGGTTTATTTCTGGGCTCTCTGTTCAGTTCCATTGATCTGTGTGTCTGTTTTTATGCTGACAACATACTGTTTTGATTACTATAGTTTTGTAATATGGTTTAAAATCAGGGAGTGTGATGCCTCTAGCTTTGTTCTTCTTTCTCAAGATCATTTTGGTTATTCAGGGTTCTTTGTGGTTCCATACAAATTTTAGAATTGTTTGTTCTAGTTCTATGAAAAATGTCATTGGAATTTTGATAGGGATTGCATTGAATCTGTAGATTGCTTTGAGTAGTATGGACATTTTAACAATAGTCTTCCAATCTCTGAGCACAGAATATTTTTTCATTTGTGTCTTCAGTTTTTTTCATTAGTGCCTTATGGTTTTCAGTGTACAAGTCTTTCACCTCCTTGGTTAAATTTATCCCTGGGTATTTTATTCTTTTTGCTGCAATTGCAAATGGGATTATTTTCTTAATTTCTCTGATAGTTCGTTGTTAGTGTGTAGAAATGCAACAGATATTTGTACAGTCACGTGTCTCTTAATGACAGGGATATGTTCTGAGAAATGCATTGTTAGGAGATTTTGTTGTTGTGTGAACATCATAGAGTGTACTAGATGGTATGGCCTGCTACACCCCTAGGCGATATGGTACTAATCTTAAGGGACCACTGTTGTATATGTGGTCTGTTGTTGACTGAAACGTCATTATGCAGCATATGACAGTATATTGATTTTACGTCCTGCAGCATTACTGAATTTGTTTATTAGTTCTAACAGTTTTTTGGTGGAATCTTTAGGTTTTCTGTATATATGTCATCTGCAAATAGTGATAGTTTTACTTCTTCCTTTCCAATTTGGACTTTTATTTGTTGGGAGGTTTGTTTTTGTTTTTTGAGGAAGATAAGCCCTGAGCTAACATCCGCTACCAGTCCTCCTCTTTTTGCTGAGGAAGACCAGCCCCGAGCCAACATCTGTGCCCATCTTCCCCCACCCTATATGTATGATGCCTGCCACAGCATGGCTTGATAAGCCTTGCACAGGTCCACACCCAGGATCCAAACTGGTGAACCTCAGGCCGCCAAAGCAGGGTGTGTGAACCCAACCGCTACACCACCAGGCCGGCCCCTGTTGGGAGGTTTTTGATTACAGGGTCTTCTTAACTAGTAATTGGTCTGTTCAGATTTTCTATTTCTTCATGTTTCAGTCTGGTTGGTTGTATGTTTCTGGGGATTTGTCCACTTCTTATAGGTTGTCAAATTTACTGGTGTATAATTGTTCTTGGTAGTCTCATGATCCTTTGTGTTTCTGTATTATCAGTTGTAATATCTCCTCTTTCATTTTTTTATTTTATTTGAGTCCTCTCTTGTTTTTTCTTGGTGAGTCTAGCTAAAGGTTTGTCAATTTTGTTTCTTTTCAGAGAACCAGCTCTTAGTTTCATTGATTTTTTTTTCCTGTTATCTTTTTAGTCTCTCTTTCATTTACTTCTGCCCTGATCTTTGTTATTCCCTCCTTCTACTAACTTTGGTCTTTGTTCTTTTTCTAGTTCTTTGAGGTGTTAAAGTTAGATTGTTGAGTTTTTCTTGTTTCTTGATGTAGGCATTTATTGCTATGAACTTCCTTCTTAGAACTGCTTTTACTGTATCCCATAAGTTTTGGTATGTTGTATTTCCATTCTAATGTATCACAGGTATTTTTTTATTTCTGATTTTTTCTTTGACCCATTGGTTGTTCTGGAGCATGTTGTTTAATCTCCACATATTTGTGAATTGTTTAGTTTTCTTCTTGTAATCAATTTCTAGTTTTATACTATTGTGGTCAGAAAAGATGCTTGACAAGATTTCAGTCTTCTTAAATTTATTAAGATGTGTTTTGTGGCCTAACATATAATCTATCCTGGAGAATGTTCCATGTGCACTTGAGAAGAATGTGTATCCTGTTGCATTTGGATGGAATGTTCTATATATATCTGTGAAGTTCTTGTCTAATGTGACATTTACAGTTTTCTGTCTGGATCATCTGTCCATTGATGTAAGTGGGGTATTAAAGTCCCCTACTATTGTTGTAGTCTGTTTCTCCCTTTAGGTCTGTTAATATTTGCTTTATATATTTAGGTGCTCCTGTGTTGGGTGTATCCTCCTCCCCCTCCTCTTCCTCCTCCCTCCCGAAAGCTGCCTAGTACGTAGTTGTGTATTTTAGTTGTAGATCCCTTTAGATCTGTTATGTGGGGTGCAGCCTCAGCATGGCTTATGAGTGGTGCTGGGTCCACACCCAAGATCTGAATCAGCAAAACCCTGGGCCAGCAAAGTGGAGCATGTAAATTTAACCACTTAGCCACAGGGCTGGCCCCTGGTGACATGTTTATGACCATTAGTTTGAACTCTTTATCAGGTAAATTACTTATCTGATTAAATTCAATTGCTGATCTCCATTTCATTAAGGTTTTTTCTGAGGTTTTATCTTTTTCTTTTGTGTGGAATGTATTTCTCTGTTTCTTCCTTTTGCTGGGCTCTCCATGTTGGTTTCTATGTATTAGATGAAACAGCCACCTCTCCCAGTCTTAAAGGAGTGGTCTTACATAGGAGATAAATCTTATCATTCAACTGTACTCTTAGCTCTTGGTTGTCTCTCAAACCTTTGTGATTGTCCAAGCAGCCTATTTTATTTTTAATAGCACACAGTAGTTGGTGTGCCAAGACCTATGAGTGTCCCAAAGGGGAGGATCTCAGTCAGCACCTACATTGAGGCTGCTTGGAAGCCAGACCCTCGGGCAGCACCTTTTAAAGTATGCAAACACATACAGTCCTTTGGGACCGCATGCCTGAGCCCTGCAGCCACCAGAGCCAGGTGATCTGGAAGTGTCTCCTGGGTGGCAGTCAGAAAAGTTGGGGCTCCAGGCGAGTTGTAAGTTCCTTTCTGGGAGATATTGGCGAGCTGTAGCAAGTCAGAGGGAGAGCACAAAGATGGCATCTACCAGCCTATGTTCCCTGAGAGCACCTCAGTAGGCCTCTAGATGTGTTTCAAACCTGAAGCCTACCCCTCAGGTTGAAACTCCAGGACAACCAAATAGGCCTCTTTGACACAGAGACTGGGGGTATGTTTCAGTATCCTGTCTGTGCAGTGCCCTAGGGGTGGTATTATGCCAAGAACTGTCTTTTTGATTGTTACAGCCTCATGGGACCCAGGAATGCAAACCCCCCCAGCCATCAGAGCCAGGTGATCAAGGGACACCCCCTGGGCAGCACCTGTAGAAACCAGGGCACAAGATGTAAAAACTGGGGTACTAGAGGCATGTAAGAACTATTCTCTGAGAGATTGGTGCTGTGGAGCTTGGCAGAAGGAAAACGCAAAGATAGTGCTCATCCTCCAAGGTCTCTGGAAAGAAACACAGTCAGCTCTTGGATGTTTGTTTAATTAGAAGCCTGCCCCCAAGGCTGCAGCTGTGATGATAAGCTAATAGGCATCTTTCCCAGAAAGACTGAACTCCTGGGTCTCTTGCCTCTTACTGTGCCATGGGAGTGGTAGCTGTTTAAGAACTGTTTGTCTGTTGGTTACAGTCCTGTGGGATCCATGAGTGTCAGCCCCATTAGCCACCAGAGCCAGGTGATGCAGTTGTCTCCTGGCAGCAGCTGCAAAGAACTGGGGCACCAGACTTGTGTAAATGTTCCCCTCCAGGCGATACTGGCGTTCTGGAGTGGTGCAGAGGGAGAGTATGAAGATGGCAACCCACTGGCTGGAGCAAGAGAGAGAGGGGAGTGTGAAGATGGTGCCTGCTAGCGGCTGGGGAAGGAGGGGGATGCCTAGAGTTAAAAAAAAATTTTTCTAAATATGGTGCCTGCCAGCCTCAGCCCCCAGAGGGTATCCCAGTAGGCCCCCAAATGTGTGTTAAGTTAGATGCCTGCCCCTCAGGCTGATGCTTTACTGTAAGTAAATGAGCCTCTTTCATATAGTCTGGGCACAATTGGCTGCCTCTGCTCTGGGCTCTGGGGCGAGTGAGTCCACCCGTGAGCCCTTGTTTCTCCCTTCCACTATAGCCTTGTGGATCTCGTGGATGTGAGCCCTGACTTTTCAAAGCTGGATGTTTTAGGGCTCGTCTCTCCATTACAGGTCTTAAAAGTTGCGGTGCCTGACGTGGGGTTCAAACCCTTCACTCCTCAGAGAGAAGCTCTGGGTTTTGAATTCCCTCTCGATTCGCCACCAGGAGTACAGTTTATGGCTTGATTGTGTCTCAGCCTCTCCTCCCCACCTCTATGTGGTCTCTTTCTCACTTGCTTGATAGGAGTGTAGTAGTTGCTCAGCCACTTTTCTTCTTTTTCAGAGGAAACCGTTCCATATGTAAGTGTAGATTTGGTGTATTCATAGAAGGAGGGTGAGTTCAGGATCTCCCCAGGTCGCCATCTTGAACCAGAACCCTTCACTTTTTAAACTAATTAGCAATGGACCCTCCTGTCAGTATTTGTGGTCTTGGGAATCCCATGATAGCTTAAAAAGAAACAAAAACCAATTTGGCTGGCCATAGATTAGGAGATATTCTTCTAGGAACATCAAAAAGCCACTCTGGAGTTGGGTAGTAGAGAGCCCCAAGCCCAAAATGTCTTAAGGAAATCCTTTCCCTAGCATACCACTATTTTCTGCCAGTTAATTTTAGACTTTACTTCAATACAACACCAAATTACCCACATCAAATGGCAGGAAAGTAGAAAGGAACCTTGAAAAGGGAAAGTAGGGTAAAGCAGTTTCCCAGTGCAACCTGCTTGGTTATCTGAAATTATTCTGCTTATGAGCTCTTGGTATTTTTCGCTAGTTTGCTCTTAAGCTTCAAGAATCTGATTTAGTCCCTTCCCTATGTCCAGATAAATAACAAAATTATATAAATCTTACACATTAATTAAAGGAAGGTGAAACTAAGTCTTTAAGACAGTGAAATTATGTATATTATCACGGGGTGGCTCAAAATAAGGGAATTTAATCACTCAGGGTCCCAAAATAGAATAATTCAAGATGGTTTATTTAGAAAGGGACTATTTCCAAAGGAGTGGCTGTGAGGGAATCACAGAAATAGCGCGTTGACTCTGGTGCTAGTAGCAACTGAGCTGTTACTGGAACCTAGAAGACAAGAGTTGTAGAGAGGTAACTTAGAGGAGCAGTGACCTTTAGTAAAGGGACAGTCAGCCTGAGGTCAAGTCACAGGGAATGAGCCAGTGGAATAAACATCCTGACTTCACTCTTCTCCCTCCCTTTAATCTGCCTTTGATCCCTCTTGACAGAAGCAGAAAGAGGGCTGAAGAACCCATTGATATGGTTCATACCAGTCAGTCTGCCGCAGCAGAGAGCAGCGTAGAGAAAGGTTGTGAAATGGGTCTAGAGTAGCAAAAGATATTCAGTATGAGAATGATGCAGGCTGGGCAGCCTAAGTAGGGATTAGTCCCAGAGCAGTTCCAGCCTGGAATAATATACCTAAAGTGTCCAAGATAAGAGAGTAATAACTGCACTTTCATGTGCAACCCAGACCTCTTCCTTTCCTTCGCTAATTGTGAATTTAAAATTTTAATCATATGTGAAAGAAAGCCTTTGCAAGGTTGTTGCTTAACTGGTTACACAGCTGTGATAATGGAGCACATCACTGAACATTACATAAGTAGTAGTGAAATTTCAGTGTCCTTTTTTTGAGTGGTGAACTTTTCCTGTTTTCAGAATGGCAAAAAGTGAAAGGTTGTATGTGATTCAGGGATGGTCTGCAGGCAAAGCATAATGAATGCCATATGAGATATGAAATGCAACATATGACTTTACATAAATAGCAACATTTCGCTAAAAATTTTGTTCCAAGAGGGGAGTTATAAGACATTTCCCAGTGCCTCTAAAGGACATTTTCCCAGCTCTTTTTATATTTATGTTCTGAAGGACATTTTCCAGATCTTTTTATATTTATGTTGTTAATTTCAAACCAAGATAACGAAACTTCACATCTCTCTTAAAAGAGATTTTTTACATTGCTTTGATGAAAAATTTTGTCAGTTACATTGATAGGAAAAATGTAGAAATAAATTTACTTAGATATACAAGATGGTAATACATACAGTGTTTGTTATATTCTAAGTGAAAGCCAAGACATTTCTTTGGAAAGTTTTGTTTAAAAAATTGTCTACATTCTGTGATGCTAAGAATGAATCATCTGAAGTTCTGATACATGCTATAGCATGGATGACCCTGAAAGGCATTATGCTGAGTGAAATAAGCTGGACACAGGAGGAGTGGGATGGGTGGTGCAGGGAAACACAAATAGTATATGGTTCCACTTGTGTAATGAATCTAGGTGGGGTGGGGTGGACAAATTCATAGAGATGGAAAGTAGAGTGGAGGTTGTTGGGGGTTGGGAGGGAGGGTGGAATGGGGAGTTACTGTTTAGTGAGAGCAGGGTTTCTGTTTGGGGTGACTAAGAGGTCTGGAATTGTGCAGCATTGTGGGTGTGCTTGGTGCCACTGAATTTTACACTTAAAAATGGTTTAGTGGAGGATTTGGAGAAATTGGAACCCTCTGCATTGTTAGTGGCAGTGTAAAATGCTACAGCTGCTATAGAAATCAGTATGGCATTTCCTCAAAAGAAATTAAAAATATAATTACCATATGATCCAGCAGTTCCACTTCTGGGTATGTACTGAAAAGAACTGAAAAGGTCTTGAGGAGATATTTGGACAGTCATGTTTATAGCGCTATTATTCACAGTAGCTGAGAGGTAGTAGCAATGCAAGTGTCCCTTCACAGACGGATGGATAAACAAAATGTGGTGTGTACATACAATGGCATATTATTCAGCCTTAGGAAGGGAGGAAATTCTGACACATGCTACAACATGGATAAACTTTGAGGTCATTACATTAAGTGAAATAAGCCACAAAAATATAATCACAAAATACGTCACAAAAATACAAGTACTTTATGATTCCACTTACGTGGTACTTAGTCAAATTTAGAGAAACAGAAAGGAGAATGGTGGTTGCCAGGGGCGGGGAGGAAGGAATGGAGAGTTTAATGGGTATAGAATTTGTTTTGGAAATTAAAACAAGAAAGGTTTTAGAGGGCAGTAACTAATAAAACTATTTAATGCCTTTGAAAAAAGTGGTTAAATTGGTAAGTTTTGTGTTATGTATGCTTTACTATAATTTAAAAAAATAATCATCTGAAACTTTCTTTTAGATGACTTAAATACAGGAATATTCACCAATGCAGAATCATGCTGTGGATCAGTAATAGAGAGGGAAATTATAAATTGTTCATCTCCCGAGATTCCTGCAGAATTTAATCAACAGTTTAACACTAAGAAAAACAAACAAGTAGTATTAAGTAGGGATAAAGGAGCCAACTTAGAAAAAGAAAACAGTTGGTATAATGACCAATGTAATCAGTTCACAAGAACAGAGAAACAAATGAAACATATGAAGAAATCTCCTAAAAGGCCTGATTGGAATATAAATAAGCCAATCAAAAGGTATATCCCAGCATCAGAAAAGTACCCTAAACAGCTTCAAAAGCAAAGAGAAGAAAAAAAGGTAAGAAGGCAGATGGAACTGCTTAATTTGGTAGAAATAAATAATTCCGGACACCTCTCTCAAAATAGAGGCACTTCACCAGAAGTTTTTCATTCATCTCATCAAGAAACTGAGCCAAGGTTCAAGTGGCATCTAGTCAAAAAGGTAAAGCTCTTCTGTCTTAAAAATATATTTTAAAGTATGTATTGATGTTTCTAAATTGAAAACACGGTTCCCCGTGTGCATGTTTTGACAAAGCTGTTCTGTGTCTGAACAAGAGTTCTAGAATTTGTTTATGCCGGGGGTCAGCAAACTATGGCCCGTGGGCAAATCTGTCCTGCTGCCAGCTTTTGTAAATAAGGCTTTATAGGAACACAGCCATGCTCATTCTTTTATGTATTGTCTATGGCTGGCCTCGCCCTACAATGGTAGAGTTCAGACTAGTTCTAACAGAGACCACCACATGGCTCACAAAGCCAGAAATGTTTACTGTTGGATTCTTACGGAAAAAGTTTACACTTAAACCCTGTATAGATTAATGCTATTCTTGATTCAAACACCCATTCAAAACTCTTCTTTATAGTCCAGACAGGTGATAATTTATAAGATCAGGAATTACTGGACTGGTCCTCTCTGACTCTGGAAAAATATAGTCTCCCTCAGATTATTTCAACAAGTAACCTCTAAAAACGTTTGTAAGGACATAAGGAAATACTGTTACTCCTTTCTACATTTATCTATCCATCTTTTAGGAAGAAGAGCCTCTGAAAATTAATTCTTTCAGCAAGGAAAGGTATGTTATGCATCAGATTGATTCCATAGCCACTTACTGCTTTCTGTGTGGTATAAAATATTTGCTCAAACTATAGGTGAGATCAAGCATGTATGTATATGAAGACAGTAACAGGAAAGTATGTGACTTCCAGGTGAGGGAGTAGAGCTTTAAGGGAAAGAGTGGCTGGCATTTTACCTAGAATTTGAAGGTCCAAGTTGGACTGGGCCTAGGCATCCCAGGCAGGAATGTAGGTGATATTTTGTGTTATCTCCAGAGTTAGCTTAATAGTTTTGATTTTCCAGGTATGTCAACAGTGGAATAGACATTCTGCTTGGATTGAGGGCGGAGGGAAGAAATGACTGGCAGGGACATTGAGAAATTCAGTTAACCAATGGGAGATTTGGAACTGTTTAAATTTTTATTCTATCCCTTTGTGCATGAACCAGCTAGGTTAGAGTTGTCTAAGAATGTGGCTCTAACAGCAAGTTTAGTTCAGATGTTAAGTACATTTTATGGTGAGTTATCTAAGGAGAAACATTTTGACCTAACCCAGCTAGCATTGATCCTCAGGCTCTAGTAACTTAATATTCCCCCCTATACTAGAGTACATGTATCTTCAGCAAGTACTAGTAAAAACAAATTAATCCCACTCTGTTGCCCTGTTTTAGGAAAAGATATTATAGAACTCAAGCTTCTATAGCGTTCCTAAAGGTGTTTATAGGTACATTTAGAATAAATTGTAATGTGATTAAAGAGTAGATATGCTTAATCTAAAACACACAATTTTGTACTGAAGCTTCTTAGTCTCTAATTATTAGTCTCTAATTATGCTTTTTTAAAAAAATAGGTCTCAGTCACCAAAAGTTCCAGCAGTGAACAACAGAACACAACAAACTCAGACGCTGAAAAACACTAATTACGAGAGAGAGAATCTTATCTCAGGAGGCAATCAAACGGCAACATCACCTGGAATTTCTGAACCATCCCATTTTATTCCCTATGTCCGAACCAATGAGATCTATTACCTTGATCCAGATGCACCATTGTCTAGGCCTTTAACTCAGGATCCTCAGTACCAAAATCCATATAGTAAGTTAAATATTTAAGTATTACCCCCTGCACAGGTAACCCAAAATCTAAGTTAGTATTCCGGCCCTTAGTTCTAAAAAATATCGTAAGTTTTGCCCCAGGAGAGGGAGAATTTCTCTTTTGGGGTCCATTACTAAATCTTTAATTGAATATTAATCCTTAGAATACTATAGCATAGAGCTATATTGTATTATTAGAAATGTATTTAGACTTTTCTCATTTTCATCTGGCTTCAGACTATGACCAAGAACGACAGCTGGTTGACTCTGACCATGTGAGGGACCCACTTCTTAATCCTAACTTGGTGAAAAACAGGGATCGACAGCAAGCAATCCTTAAGGGACTATCAGAACTGAGACAGGTATGAGCTTTTTCACCAATTATGGATGTGACTTTTTCTGTATATGGCTGGGGGAGGGCTGTGTGTTGGAATGGCTAGGATTTTTACTTAAAGTGCCTAGTTGGTTACATGATATATGTGACTTTACCGCATCCCAGTTCAAAAACATCAAAAATTCACCTATGTATTAATTTTGAAATAAAACAGGACTTTCCTTCAATTCGTTTCCCATTGCTATTTTTAAGAATATTTATTTCCAGTATGAAATCATGAGACAGTTCAAATATTAAGACAATTTTATTGAATGGAAAATGCATACATTTGAACAGTAAAACGTGATCAATAAGGCCCTAAAAACCAAAGGCAGAAAATAACACAATTACGCTTTAATAAATTCTTGATAATGTACTTCACACATTTTTTAAATGAATGTGTTGGCAGTGTTTGGAACAGAACATTGACATAAGTCCCAAAGAATAGTATAATTCAGTGTGAAATTATACGTATAATCTTACTCACCAGACTACTTTTTCTCCCACACCAATTATTGTGACTTCTCTTTATCTTGCTCAGGTAACACATCCAATATTTAAGGCTATAACTTTTCTCCATCATCTAGCTTTAAAAAACATATCCCTGGGCTTAGAAAAAATAATGACTTGCAAAATTGGTCTGCAGTTTTGATTCACAGTACATTTTTTATATTTGGGAAAAATAAACTGCTGTTTTAGGAGTGCACTTCACTATACTCAGTCATTTACCACACCTCTTGCATTTCAAATTGTCGATTCAAGTGTTGCTTACCAATTCTTTTTGTGCAGCTAGAAGAGCACCCCCACTAATACAGGCTTATGAAGAAAGTATCCTTTAGTTTTTTAAATGCTAGTTTTGGTTACGTGTTGATTGAGTTCTGTAAACTCAAGCTTGGTAACACACAGCAAAGATTTTACTTAAATATTCCTTTAATGTGACAAGACGTTTTTACTTCTAGGTTAAGGGGAGACAAAAGTTGTGAGGTCAAGTGGAAGGAATATGATGCATACCTTCACCCACCTATATAGTGGCCACATCTTATTTCAGCATGGCCTTGTATTAACCACTAAGGTTAGTGCAGTCAAGATAAACGTAGGATGTCTCTCAGTGTGTCTCATTACCATGTTAAGAGCATTTGGGGAACAGGAAGAGAGGGATCTCAGCTTCATAGTTGTGGAAACTTGGTTTTGAGAAAAGTTATCCCTATTGGTTTTTATGCTAAAAGTAGAATCTTACAGATACATAATAGTTATACAATATCCAAATCTAGTGTAAGAATTACTGAAATTTTTTGAGTGAATAAAATTCAACATGACAAAGATAAAGCTTAAGTTATTGCAAAGTAACTGAGCTTAACACAATGTTTTCAAAGTAAATATAAATCTGGATTAACAGGACAGAAATGTAAAAGAGGAATAATTTGCAAGTCTGCTGCACACCTTACTAACATATCAATGTGATTTCAGGGCCTTCTCCAGAAGCAAAGGGAGTTGGAAACTAATCTCATGCCTTTAGCTGCAAATCAAGAAGAGAATTTTAGTTCTACGTTTTAAATGTAGACAATCAAATCCTTCACATTTGATTTGTGTCTTCCAAATTATAAAATGTGCTTGTTACTTAACTGTATTTTTTAAATAGCCTAGATTTATTTTTTAAATGCTTATTTAAAATGTGTACATTATATAGTAAAATGCTGTGTATATATATATTTTTTACAATAAAACATACTTTTGTAAAAGCTTAGTAGTAAAAAACCAATTTTTTTGCTCTGTCACAATCTGGGTATTTAAGTCCTATAAAAAAACACTTTCTACTTACCTTGACAGGCTGGAGTTTCTGACCTATTAACAGCCAATGTTCTTCCACACTTTATATGTAGATCATAAGTGAAATACCACTTACGTATTTTGCTCTATGAAGAGATTTAAGAGTAGAACTCTTCCAAGTTTTTTGAGGCGCCAAAGGAAGGTCTGACTTAACAATCCCAACAACTTTTAATTCTAAACCCAGATTCAGTTTAGGCTCATGCGGTAATTTTTCTTTTCTCTAGATCCTGTTTTTATGACTTTTATTGTATAAACTGTAGTTTTCAAAAACACAAGTTTGCATTAGATATGGTTTTAAAATTGATCTCCACTATATACTTTATCTGTGAATTTAAAAAGTTATTTTTAGTATAGCACCTAAGTGCTTACCACCACAAAAATATACTTCCATTTTTCTAAGACTACCAATTTAAAAATCTATAGCAAATTATTCAATGTTTTTTAATAAACAGAAACCTATCTTTTGAATTATGAATTTGGTTAAGTCAAGGACCACACAAGCACTGAAAATTGTAATTATCAAATACTCTCAAAATTAAAAGTTGACCAAAATTTTAGCAGCAGGCGATTTTTACATGGCTAAGCCTAAAGATAAAAAATAATGCTGCCTGGTATTAAATCCTAAGTCCTATGTACATGGTTTATCATCTAAATGAAACTGCACTGGTAGATAAATCTTGAGGTATTCAGCCAAAATCCTGAAAATATTTGTTAACATCACTGGCTTATACCTGTGTAAAAACACTCTACAAAAGCTTAAATCAAAATAAATACAACAGTTGATATGTCGTTTCAGCAAAAGTAGTTGGTATCGGACATTAGAGGGAGAAAAAAGGAAAGCCGTTGCTGTTCACTATCCTTTTGCAAATATCTCATTTTATATGTAAAACAGGCTTCAGTTTGAAGCTGAAGTACAAGTGACATATAAACTGTAAAACTTAAAAGTGCCAACATGAGATAATGCAAGTACAATATATGTTAAAAATATATATTTATTTCAATTTTCAGATACTTCAAATGTTACAGGCCATCATGATTTAAATAAGAGGAAAAAAACATTTGAGAAAGGACAAGAAACCTTTTTTTTAGAGAAAGAAATATAAATTGTTAATTCACTTTTAAAAAACAGAAAAAGTCCGTAACAACCTACTTCCAAAAAAAAAAAGTTACTGTAATTATTTCTCTTTTGAATATGGCCTGGAAGAATCACTTTTCCCCCAATTTAATGGAGATGAAGATTTCTCTCTATCCAAGCTTTGAGTATAAGCAGATAAAAAGTAATTTTCACTTTCTTGAGACTGACTTGATGAAAGGGCATATGGTGTCCCCAAAAATGTCTGATGAGTGAGAACATTAAAATGACTAAACTGATGGGACATATTTAATTGACTGTGATAAACCTGAAAGTTGCTATATGAATCTTGTTCAGCTGAATTGCTGTTCTCTCCTTCAGAGCATACTAGATCAATAGAAGCTCTCTCTTCAGAATCAATTTGATAAGTCTTATCTTCTAATAAACTTTTTTGCACGTCAAGAGACGATTGCAACTGAATTTGAATATTCATATTTTGATCTGTTCCACGTGATCCTTTGGTCTCTTTCGTCAATATTTCTGAATGAAAATTGCTGCATACTTCTATTTGTGAGATTTCATCCCCTGAATCCAGAGACATATCCTCTTCATCCTTTTCATCGTTTTCTAAAAGAGCTACATTTAAAAAACAAAAAGTCCTCCTCTATTGAAATACACAATTTGTTTAAGTTTTAAAATTATACACTACTCACACAATATAATGCGTCAGGGTCTGCAAGTCCACAATCCCTTAAAGCTTGGTCTTCTGCCACAAGTTCACTTAGTCACAACACTCACACTAGGTGTGAATGTCCAGATAATCCGATGCTAAAAGCTTCTGCGAAATGTGTTCACGTTTAATGTTGGGAAATCCCAACTCCCAGCTCCAAAGGGGTTAATGTCAAAACAGCATCTAAAGTTATACGGTAATTCAGTATTTGAAAAGACAAATATAAAATAAAAATTTCGACATCTAGCTTCACTGGATTACTACTATAACTGGTTAGCTCTATCAAATGTTCGATCATCTCTGCTTTTCATCAAAAACAAAAGTAAGTACATCTTTCATTTTATATAAATCCTGGAACCAAAGCAGAGGCCATCTCACAAAAGACTAAAGCTATGGATATCCCTACTACTTTGTAATTTAACTCCTTTATACATCTGGGGAGACAGTAGCTTGATGCTAAACCCCCCTATCTGGTGTCCTCCTTTTTAAAAATATAACCCCTTTGCTGATAACAGCAGCCAATAACCATACCCTCAAAGAGAAAATGTCTACTCTAGTACGCAGTCTACAGTAACTCTTAACATGTATAATAAGTATAAGAATGATAAATGCCTTGAAACACTTCTCTGAAGCTGTTTACACTGAGGTGAGTGGTTTCAAAATAGGCATTTCATTATACGAAAACAGCAAAACCGTTTCTCTTTTTCTGTCTGCCTTAAAGAAAAGGAAAACTACTGAAAAGTTACCTGACTGCGACTCAAGATCCTCATTAGCACCAAGCAGTGGAAGGTTTTCTTCTGTGATTGAGTTGTGATAGCCCACAAGATTTTTAAAGTTTTGCATAAAATCTTCAGCAGTTGCAACTACTATTCCATTATCTGTATAACTGGAAAGCATCTTGATATTCTTCTCTAAATTAAAAAAAGATGTTTTGAGCATAAAACACTTGAAAATATACACAGACACATGATGATGTCTGCTCCCAGACTTAACAAAATCCTTTCCTCCACATTTTCAGAATCATAACTAAATAATCAACAACCCACCACAACCCCACAGACTCCTTTCATCCACATTCCTATATTCATAGTAGAAAGCTTAAAGCACACTAGTTACCTGTTAAAAAGACTATGTGTCGTTGCTGTATGTTCTGAGCCTGAAGTCTGATAAGGCAATCCAATTCTGGAGCATTTCGAGTTTGTGAATCACAATTGTGGTATGACAAAATTTCAACCAGATGTTTCTTCTGATAGACATTCAGAAGTGTCAACAGACTCAGAGCTTTAGAATTCAACCTGTGAAATTAAGTATAGTTCAGTATCTGGATCTGCATTTCTAAAATTTAGTGCAGCAGTTTTTGCTTGAAATTAAAACCGTAAATTCTCAATTGAGTTAACTAATGACAACTGCAGTGCTTAGCTCACTGCCTGATGTAGGGGAGCTTCTTAGGGGAGAGGGAGAGCAGGAATTGTGCAACCCACATGTAAGTCCAGGAACTTTCTCTGAGTGAAAAGCCCGAGGGCCAGCTATTCTGCTTAGACTAAAATCTCAACCAGTCATTTTATTTACTAAGTAACAAACTATAGTTCTCTAGCTTTACTAATTTAGAACTTGAATGAAAGGCATAAAAGGACCAAAAAATATAAATCTTTCCTTCAAAAAATACATGGCTCTAAGCTATTTCTAGGCACGAGGCACAGTGCAACAAGTGGTAAAAATTACTGGCTCCTGTCAGGGAGATCAGGGTACTAAGTGTACAAGTTACATCTTTGGGCCTCAGTATTGTTCCCTGTTATATAAACATACGACTTGTCTGATGCCTATTTCACGTGATTTGAAGATAAAACAAGGTTAAAAAAGTGAATTACTACAAAAAGTTAAGTACTTAAAAATTATTTAAGCCTGCATTTCCCTAAATGTACCATGGCCATTCCTCGAAGACCTGACCATGGAATGTCAAAATTTTGTAGTCTAAGTTTAGGAAATGCTGGGTGACAAAATGTAAAACAGAATTCTTAACTACTGAGTTGCTCAGCTTCCTTAATGTAGAATTCTCTACATTGCTTAAATGTAGAAATACATTGTATGGACTCTCTAGTAGTAGGATATACAGTCATGTACTACATAACGATATTTCAGTCAACCATGGACCATATACAACAGTGGTCCCTTAAGATTAGTACCATATAGGCTAGGACTATACCATCTAGGTTTGTGTAAAAACACTCTGATGTTCACACAGCGATGAAGTCAGCTAATGACGACACATTTCTCAGAACGTGTCTCCTTCGTTAAGTGACACATGACTATAGTTTCCCAAACTCATCTGATTACATAATCATTTGTGGAGCCTCTCAAGTAACTAGTGCTCCAAGGATTCCACTTTAAGAAGTGACTTCTGGTCATGTTAGAAATCACTTATTTATAGAAATGAATGTCCTAATAACAAATCCCCTTATGTCAAGATTAATCCTTGTCTCAATATGTGTGAAGTTACTCAATTAGCTCCCTAAGGTAGTCTCAATTGGAGAGGGCCTGATCTAGCTGGCCTATATACAGTTCAGCAAAAAAATTAATAAAGAATGCTGATCACTCCATTTCCATTATTATTCTAAACCCCCAGGGGCAAAGATTAAACCAATTTTATCTTTATACATAACTAGAACTTCAGCAAACTTCTATCTAAATAAGAATACCACTTCCAGACAGGGTAGAATAATTCAATTTCTACATTGCCTTATGGTTGGCTAAGGATATCTGTGAAAAGTGAACAGCTCCATAATCTACAAACATAGAAAAACAGAGAAAGAAATTCTGTGAACACATTGTTAACAACTAACCATCATTATATAGTTATTTTTCAAATCTTACCTGCCTAGTTCCTTTAGTTTTTTCTGAAATTTACAATGGACTTTCCATTGCCATTTTCCTTCTGGAGTACTAAGTTCTTCCAGGAATGTCAAAAAATTTTTAAGGTTCTCTGTTAGAGATAATGAAGTCCATTTTAAATTCAATAAATACCAGTCACTCTACAACTGAATTATGGAAGAAGTGTTTGTGGATATTATGTAGAGACACCAACTTTCCCCATGTAGTATTTTCTTTCTCTTTTTTC